CATCCTTTAAATAGAGGAGATACTGAGACAAAGATAGAGATAAGGACCAGAGTAAGGGAATGGGTAAGGGGCCTTTTTTTTTTTTTAATGCAAAAGTTCGGTGTAGAAACAATAAGGACCTGAACTAAATGGGCAGCGGCGGGAATAGAATAGGGAGAGATAGGCTTCGGGAAGAAGAACTAGAGAGATTTGTTAGATGGATAGGGAGGGAGAGGCAGGTGCCAAGGGTTGCTTCTGTGTTCAGGTTTGACTCCTGGGCAGTTAAGAATGCTGTCCATTATCTACGGTCAAAAACAGGCAGGCAGGATGGCTCAGTAGGCGAAGGCGCTTGCCACCAGGCCTGACAACCTGATTTTGACCAGGACCCACACTGCAGAAGGAGAGAACTGACTCCTGTAAGTGGTCCTCTGACCTCCACACCTGTACTGTGATACAAAACAAGGGCAATAAACACATAATAATGAAAGATCAAGAACGGTATCACAGGTGGCACAGGGCTGTCATCTCAGCCACTCAAGAAGCAGAAACAGGAGGATTGCAAATTCAAAACCAACCTGGGCAACCCTTTTTTGTTTTGGGGTTTTGGTTTTGGTTTTTTGTTTGTTTGGTTGGTTGGTTGGTTGGTTTTTTTTTTTTTCAAGACAGGGTTTCTCTGTGTAGCTTTGCACCTTTCCTGGAACTCAATCTATAGACCAGGCTGGCCTCGAACTCACAGAGATCCACCTGCCTCTCCCTCCTGAGTGCTGGAATTAAAGGCGTGTGCCACCACCGCCGCCGCCGCCGCCACCACCACCACTACCACCCAGCCTCATTATAATGTTTAATTGTCTTAATAACTTTAGAGCCTCCTTTTGTGGTGGAAAATATTGGAGTGGTTCAGGGACTTCCCCAGCTAGTGGAGAGACCTGTGTGTTTATAGGCTGGAGTGGAGGCCTCAGTGGGAGGGTCAATATAGAGACAGATAATCATTGATTTAGAGCCAGGGTACAGTTAAACCTTAACTTAAAGGTTTAAAGGAGTGAATTCCACAGCTCAGAAATGTCTCCGGGAAAGTCATTGCCCATTTCCAAAAGTTAAGCAGTTAATCACTCATTGTGCCGGAAGCTTACAAATGTATTTCTTCTTCCGGTGCCAAGCCCTGGCTGGTTTCCTGTGCATTGTCTCTCCGTGTTCTTTTTGCACCACCCGCTCACAGATGGGAGTTACTGATTGGCCCCTCCCCTTCTCTCAGATGGGAGTTACTGATTGGCTCCTCCCCTTCTCTCAGATGGGAGTTACTGATTGGCTCCTCCCCTTCTCTCAGATGGGAG